GGAGTTACAGGCCTATCCCTTAACCACTGGTAAGAAATGGAAATAGCCCATACATGCTTGGCTCATTTCAATCATGGTCCATCCTTCCCTTGGGCTGGGCATGAGTTATGACTCCTGAAGCACATAGCTAGAAAAAAAAGAAACGATAATGAACAAAAATGATTTGCTGGAGTGGGGGATGGGGTGGAGTTTTTGAATGTTTGTTGATAGGAGGATGGTACCGGCTGCAGTTTCCCTTTCATATTCTTTTTTTTTTTTTTAAATTTACTTATTTATGCATACAAGAACTGGGGGACAAGCCAGAGATGTGGGGGTGGTGAGAGGATTCACCAGAGACAGAGTAGGGAACAGAACAGGCAAATTGACTGAAATATACTGCTGAGGGGAGTAGCTGGCGAGTCAGGAGAGGCCTGCTGCGCCATGTGTGTTGCTCCCTGCCCGGGGATCGAACACTTGCTGCAGTGGCTGCGGTTAGCCTCATGGGTTGTATCTTAACCCCTTGCACCACCAGGAGGCCCTTCCTTTCATATTCTTATTCACATCTTTTCTATTCAACTTGAGGTATCCATCTGCTTATGTGTATACTGGGGTGAGGTGGGAAAAGGGAAAAGTAGGATTAATTCATCAAAAACAAAAAGAATGCTGCTCACTTAAGAAAAAAAGAACATGTTAAAAGCAGACTTAATCAGTGAAGTTACATGTCTTTAGTTGAATAGGTCATTTATGTTCATAGTAATATTGAAATATTTAAAACTGGAACCAAATGAGCACAGGTCATTCAAGAGAGACTACTGGCCAATCAGAATGGACAAGATTGAAAATGACCATTAGAGTTGCACTGGTACACATGATACCAATTTTAAAAGGTACAAACAAAGTCACCTTCCTACTGCATCACCACCTTCTTCAGTCAACCACTTTTACCAGCAAAACAGATGTTTAACTCTGTAGTGAGACACAGTCAGGCTTCTAAAATTCTTCTAAATTCACTTATCTCCCACTTAAGGGTACTAATTATCTGACCTAGTGAACTGGACCAGAGTTTTGCATTGGGAAAGACTTAGTCAGCATAAGTGGCAATGAGAAAAGTCCAGTCTTTCCAATGTAAATGATTGTGGTTGGAGAAGAGAGGCAGTTTAAGGGGAAAGTAATAGGTAGGTTGAAGGGAGTGCTGAGCACCAGGGAACTCAAAGTACATTAGCCCTATAGGTTGTTCAGAACCAACCCAGGGGTCAACACTCTATGAAAATTCAGTGACATAGACCCTTTAGGTAGACCAAATCTCCCTCTCAACATGGTGAAGAGAAGAGCTCCAAGGGATGCCTTGGACAGAAACTTTCTGGAGAGTATGAAGTGCTGCTCAGGGGCCTGCCATGTTGTGGGTAAAGAATTGGAAGATGATTGTGGAGATCCAGAGGTTTCTAAAGAGTAGGTGAGGCTGAATCAACCAGGGCATACCACAGGGCAGAGACCCAGCTGTGATAATCTAACAGAGTATTCATCAGCAGTTACCAGCAACAGAGTGCCCAAGACTCATTGTGTCTCAGGGAGTAGAATTACTGCAGAAAAGCCCAGCAGGAATTCAAAGGACATTTTGCAGGTTTTAGGACCCAGATTTCCTAGTAGTGCTTCAAATTCCTATTAGCTCTTCCTCCTTCTTCCTCCTATCCTCCCAGATGCCATTCTGAGGAGGGCACACTGAGGGAGATAGAATATTAAGAAATAATATTTTAACCTAAAGTTAAACTTAAGCCTTAACTTAAAGGGACTGTTTAACTCATTGCACAGGCTAAAGGCTGAGGACATTTTATTTACATGGCTGATTTTTTTTTTTGTGTGTAAAACTGTAACATTGTCATAAAAATAGCAAACAGTTTCTCATATGAAATGTTGCCAGGACAGAAGATTGTGTCTTTCCTCAGTGATGGTTTATCTTTCTAGGCTTAACCCTCAGAAGCTAGCTTAATATTCCTTATGCCCACTTTTTTAAACAGAAAATTTATAAAATTAGTTTTATTCAAGCAAAGGCAAATTAATATACATTTTCTGTATCTTTGCCTTCCTCTTTGTTTGTTAAAAAGGGTAAGTTCTCAGGGTTGAAAAGTGTAGCCATGCAGCTAGATCTCCCAAAAGTAATGAATCTGAAGGTTTTTTTTTTTTTTTAAGATTTATTTATTTATTTATTTATATACACACTGGGTACAGTCAGAAGCGCGGGAGGGTGAGAGAATTCACCAGACCCAGAGTGGGGAGCAGAGCAGGCAGAAGGACTGCAGTACACTGCTGAGGGGAGCAGCGGGCAGCAGGAGAGGTCTGCGTGCCATGCGGAACCCTCCTCTGGTGGCTGGGGAGCAGCTGGGGATCGAACCGGCGCCGCGGAGGCTTTGGGCAGCTTCACAACCCAGCACTCAACCGCTGCACCACCGGGGAGGCCCTCTGAAGGTTTTTTAATGAGTTTGTTCACTCATTTGCCACTTTTCTATAACATGAGGTCATATTTTACAAGGGTTCTGTTATAAGGCTTACCATCAGCTAGTTGGTGATTCCTTCTGGAAGCTGGTGAGTTGTTTATAAGGGTGTAATAGGCCAGTCTGTAGTTGGTTATATCCAAGCTGCTGCCCAGACACCTGAAGTCCTTGTATTATTTAATTTTTTTTAAGTTTTTTTTTAAAGATTTATTTATTCATACAAGAACTGGGGTACAGGCCAGAGGTGTGGGGGGTGAGAGGATTCACCAGAGACAGAGTGGGGAGCAGAACAGGCAGATTGACTGAAATACACTGCTGAGGGGAGAAGTGGGCAAGACAGGAGAGGTCTGCTGCGCCATGTGGGTAGCTCCCTGGCAAGGGATCCAACTCAGGCTGCAGTGGCTGTGGATAGCTTCATAGGTTGCGTCTTAACCCCTTGTGCCACCAGGGAGGCCTATATTCTTTTATTCCTGTATCTTGGCTCCATTCCAGGATGGAGAAAAAGAGGTGCCTGAGAATAGCAGTGACTCAACCCTCAGTGGGGGAAATACTGAGGATTTGGAAAGCACCCAGCCCAAATCCCCAATGAATTTCCACACCCACATTTATCAGCTATATGCTTACATTTGCCAAATGACTTCTTTGAATATGAGTGAGTAATACAAATATGGGCATGAGTAAAGTGGCCATTACAGAGAAAGAATGAAGCAAATAAAATTAAAGTAAAAAAAGTGAAGGTTCTGGTTAGGGATTTACAATGAGTAAAGGGGAAACAACTCTGTTAAGTAGAAAATACATACTTCCTAAAGTGGTAAAAAAAAATGAATGAAATATGATAGGAAATATATTATCAAAAAATGAAAATGTTTAAATTTGGTAGAGGAAATGCTATTCATTAGACAAATAATCCAGTATTATTCTAGAAATGGTCATTTAAAGATGCACATTAAAACCCATTTCCTCCCCAAGATTTTCTCTAAATCCACACAAATCCAATCATTTCACTTTCTATCCTTATTATAATCACTGTTAATGAAAAATTTAATGCTTTGGCAAATTTAACAAAGCATGATCATGAAACCTTTTTCTTCCTGAAGTTGAGGGTGTGCCATATGATATTCCATGTTTTTCTTAGCTCCTGTCAACCTGATTGTGACCCCATCTGAGCGATTTCTCAATTGTGTGGATCTAACTGGAAATCGGGGTCCATTTAAACATTTTAAATTAGTGGAAAACGATGGTGAAATACCTCGGTAGGTCCCGGGCCTCATTTTTCTTCAAAGCTATAAAAAAATAAAACAAACCAACAAACAAAAAAAGTACAAACAAAAGGAGTGGGTGGAAGACTGCATCAGCGATTGGGACTCACCAGTAACTGCACTAAGGAGGGAAAAGTTGAAATCCTTAGAGCTCATTTTCTTTTTTTTTCCGCCCAAAGGAATAAGAATTCCAAACGGACATTACTTGAGTGAAAGCCGAAATCCCTAATAGTAGGGAATCCTATTTTATGAGCTAACACTCCTGGGGTGAAAAACACAATCTATGTCTCTGGAGCGGGGAGACACGAGCTGCCCATTGTGAGGCGCCTGGGGGGCATCGTGTGGGCATCCGGCTGTTTATGTCACAAGCTACTCCGGGCGCAGCGCGCCACGCGCCGGTCGCTATGGACACCGCCTCCCCCCGCCTCGCCCCACTCCTCCGCGGGGTGCTCGCTGCCCTCCAGGGTTCGGTGATCCTCCCGGCAGGCTGCTGGCAGCGCCATGCCACGGGAGGGCTGGTGGCAGGCGCGGTGGGATCCCGGTGCACCATGAGCCTCCGGCCCGGCCCCGTCCCGGGCCGATAAGCGGAGCGCGCCCAGCCCGCTGCTGCCCTCCGGGCCCCGGCTGCGAAGGCAGCGGAGCGGGCCCAGCCCGCGGCCGGCGCAGGGCCACCCCGCCGCCTCCTCGCGCCGGGGCAGCGGCCGCACCCGCCGCGCGGCTCCCGGGGTAAGTGAGCGTCTACGCAGGCGGGGAGTGCAGGGGCGGGGCGGGAGTGCAGGGGCGGGGCCGGGCCGCGGGAAAGGCGGGTCGTGGCCCCGAGCGAGACGGCTGCGCGGGCGGGGGCTGAGGACGGGCGGGGGTGGGGAGAAGGAGTCTGAGGAAAAGCCTGGGAAAGGGCGGCTCGAGGCGGAAAGCGGGCACGAGGCGGGGCCGCGTCCGCGTAGAGCAGCAGGTAAGGGAGTCGCCTCAGGCAGGAGCCCGCGGCCCGCGGCCGCCCTGCCGGGCCAGAGGGCCAGTCCTCTGCGCTGCCCGGGCGTGAACGGAAGCGAAAGGGAGCCCAACTGCCGGTGTCTCCGCCGCGGCCTCCCGCCAGGCGCCGCCCTCCACAGCCCGGGCCCGGCGGGAGGCGCCACCCGGGGCGCCCACCCTGGCCGGGCGCGTGCGGCCTGGGCGTCCCGGCGTTCGGCCCCGCCCCGCCCCGGGCCCCGCCCCTTCCTGGCACGAGCCGCTTCCTGACGCGATTCCCCTCCCCCTCCGGGCTCGCGCAGGGACTCGGGCCCCGGGCCGCCACCGCCACCTCGGCCGCTGCCGCCAGCGCCTTGATCCCCCATCCCCCGCCATGGCCGAGGAGCTCTCCGCGGCCACGTCCTACACCGAAGATGATTTCTACTGCCCCGTCTGTCAGGAGGTGCTCAAGACGCCCGTGCGGACCGCGGCCTGTCAGCACGTGTGAGTAGACGCGCCCTCCCCGCGCGCCGCCGGGTGGTCGTTTAGGCCCGGCGTGCGGCCCTGGACCCCCGGCCGCGGCCTGCTGGGCGCCCCGGGGCGCAGAGGGCCGGTTCCGGTTGCTCAGAGTCCGGGGCAGCCCGGCTTCCGCGCTCCGAACCGGCGTGCTGCCCCCCGCCCCGCCGCCGGCGCGCCTGGCCCCCGGCTTTCCCCGGGTTTCGCGCCCGGGGGCGGTGACCAGTCTGTCCCCGCGAGGTCTTCTGACCCCGGAGACTCCTCCGCTCTCCTCCAGGCCCGGGAGGAATTGCAGGGAATGTGGAGCCTTTTTGTTTCCTAGCAACCTGCACGAAGACTGGGGTGTCGAGTGTCAAAACCGGCGGAAGGGTCCGCTCGCCCCACTCCCCGACCTGGTTTGCTTTAAAGTTTTCCCTTCTTCTTTCAGAATCTTGATGCAGCCTTTCCAGAGCTGAGGGCAATTTATAACTTAAGCCTTCAGCGGAGCTTCACAGCCCACCTCGAAGGTGTTTTTGTGTCCTTCAAAATTCAGAACATATTAGAATGGTCTAGAATGAGTTTTCTTATGTCAGAACTGACAGGATATCCGGGTATTAAAGTGATAGTTTCCCTTTGTTTTACTCTTCTGCTTATTATTTGGTTACTAGGAGGGTGGAGATTAAAAAAGGAAGACAGTTACAAAAGAAATGAACTGGGTGGGAGGAACACAAAAGGATTAGGTGAGAAGGTATAGTGCTCTTTGATTTGGCGTGTTTATAGGATGAAATTGGATAATATTGTAGACTGGTAGAGTGTCAATGAAAATTGTTGGAAGGAGCTCTTCTTGTAAAGGTATGTAGCACTTCTCACAAACCTGGCTGCTGATCAGAGTCCCTGGGGAACTTTTAAAGTAAACATACCAATTCCCAGGCTACATTCCAAGCTTATAAAAAAGAATTTCTGGCAGGTAAGGCCTGGAAATCCTTATTTGAATAAAATTATTGTCAGGCTTGAAAGTTCTAAATAACTGAAAAGAATTGAGCAAGTTTCCAAATATGTTTATTTATCGTCTTTATTTTTTTCAGAGAAGGAAGGGCTATACTTTGTAGGGAATAGGGAATGGATTGAACTTTGGGTTAATCAGAAATTTCATTGCAATTATTTGATGTCTACTCTTTTTTAAAGGTTTATGCATACAAGAACTGGGGTGCAGGCCGGGGTGGGGGGCTGAGAGGATTCACCAGAGACAGTGGGGAGCAGAACAGGCAGATTGACTGAAAATATACTGCTGAGGGGATCAGGGGGTGAGACAGGACAGGTCTGCTGCGCCATGTGGGTAGCTCCCTGGCTGGCCAGGGTTGGAACTCATGCTGCAGAGGCTGCAGATAGCTTCACAGTGCGGTGCTTAACCCCTTGAGCCACCAGGGAGGCCCAATGTCTACTCTCTTTACTCATCTGTGAACTTAATTGTAATGTGTGCTTTATTCCTGTAGTGTGGTGTTCATACTAGCCTAGTTATATATTTGCTGTTTAAGAGCAAATATATCTAATAGTAGTCTGAAATTCCTTTATTTGGTGTGACATTCAAAATGTTAGAAAAATATTTTGTGATGTCTTGTTTTCAGACCTTTAATCTGTTAGTATTCTAACTTTGTCTTGTGCTGATGGAGGAGAGAAAGAAAGAAGTGCAAAGTGAGAGGAAATAGGTCTTTTTTTGACAGAATCATTACAATTATTACCCTTTGGGTCATTGACCTCATAGAACTCATTGTAATTTTAGCTCCCCTGAAAGTTCCAGGCAATGTGCTCTTGAACTGTTCTCCTAAGCATTCCTCTGACCTTGTGGGACATTTTAAATTGGTCTGTGTATTTGGCTTGACCTCAAGGCTATGGAAAAGAGAGTGGAGACAATCTGTTGAGGACCTTTCTCAAATCAGTTCATTGGACTTGACTGTGACCAGACTAGATGTGGGAAAAAATGAAATATAGAGCAGATTTTGTTGATGATCAAAGGAATGTACTCTTACTACTGTTCTAGCACTCTCCTCAATCTTCTGTCATTTGTTCCTCTGCTTTTCCACTCCTTCCCCTCCAAGGTATATAAACATGGTTGCTCTCAGGTTCTGGCTAAACAATGAATTGAAGAAGGCAGAAGGAGGGGAAAGTTTTTTTAAAAGGGGATGGTTGGTGGTGGAAAAAGGTCTTGATTTGACTAGAAGGAGTCTATTGGGAAATGTTTTAAATAACCTAGTTTACTGGGTCATTTATTCTCACAAAGGACAAACCCGTGCTTTTCAACAAATTTATATTTAATTACAAAATCAGTTTTTGAGGGCCTCCATGGTGGCGCAGGTGGTTAAGATGCAACCTGTGAAGCTCTCCACAGCCACTACAGCACAAGTTCGATCCCCGGCCGGGGAGCTACCCACATCTCGCAGCAGACCTCTCCTGCCTCACTCCCTGCTCCCCTCAGCAGTGTATTTCAGTCATTCTGCTTGTTCTGTTCCCCACCCTGTCTCTGGTGAATCCTCTCACCCCCTACACCCTGTCTCTGGTGAATCTTCTCACCCCCCACACCTCTGGCCTGTACCCCAGTTCTTGTATGCATAAATAAAATAAATCTTTAAAATCAGTTTTTGATTCATGCATAGTGAGAGATAATCACTGTGGGTCTGTTTAAAAATAAAATTTTTATTCTCTTCAAGACAGAAAAGGATTTGCCTATTCTGGTCAGAAGAGGAAATTCACTATTATTAGAACAACTTCACCAAAATATAAATTTTCATTTAATCCTCGTTCATTTCTTTGAACAACAAATTGTTGAATGCTTTTTCTGTGTCAGGTACAGGGACTACAAAGTGCTCTTTCTCTGTGTAATGGAGACTATTACATAGGGTAATGGAGAAAAAGCTTATATGTAAGTTGATTGATTGGGAAGAGATATTCATAGATAATTTGTGTGGTCATTGAGAGCCCACACAAACTGTTACAATACTAGACCAGCTTATCATAGGGGAGATTTCCTAAAGAAGTAATACCTTTTGTCATAATTGATATGTTGGGGAATATCCTGATTTAGGCTTATAATATGCTGAATCAAGGAAGGGTATAGATGATGACTGTATCTGGACCACAAAGTTTGGCTGGAATCAGAATGTGTGTGGCAGAGAAGGAGCTTAGAGATTCTGGCAGGAACTTCTGTGTAAGCTAATTTAACTCCTTTTGAAAGCCTTGGAGACCTATATAATAATACTTGACAGGGAAACTGCCTGGTCACATTTCAGTTTCAGAAAGTTTACATTGTTAATGGAGTCGGAGCTTGGTGGTGGTGAGGAGACTAGAGAAGAGGCAATTGCTGTGTCAGAAGGAAATGGTATGAACCTGAATTAAGGTAATGATAGAATGGAGAGAGATTTCTTGACTTTTTAAGGCGATTGTATGAGATTTGATGACTGTGCCACATAGTCAAGGTTATATACATAGATCTGGATTACAGAGAGCTGAACCTATGGATGGCTGTAATTGCAGAGGGAAATATACAAATTAAAAGAGCTGAGCACCTAGAAAGAATAAAGTTCTGGAGAGTACCTATGAAAATATAGAGTGAAGATAAGTGCAGCCTGAGTAGGAATGGTCAGGATAGGAAGAAAATTAGGATAGATTATGATAGTGGAAACTGAGATATTTAGGAAAGAGTAATCAGCAATATCAGATACCGTAGAGTGGCAGATGAAATATTTTCAAAAGCATGTAAAGATTAATTAAGAATACTAAAGTTGAGAATGTCCTCAAAGTAAAGTTCAGAAGAAGGTACAGATTGGTATAGTGGTAAAATATTTATCTCTTACAGTTTCCCTTTTTACCAAACCTCCTTTCTTCCCTGTTTGGAATGGTCAAGGAAATAACTGTTAAGGTAAACTCCCATCACTATAAAAATTACATATAATGACAAGTTAATGCCTTGCTAAACTGGTATCTCATCTCTGATTTTAGGCATCTCTGTAAGTAGGCATCTTTTAAGATGAGCTAACATAAATCAGTTTCCACTTCACATTAGCATGAATTTGTATGCTTCTCTATTGATCTGCCTTTGAGTTTTTATTTCTTATAATCGAACAGCTTTATTGGTATTTTGCTGTTTGAGCAATTGTGTTCTAAATATGTACTTTCAAAGTTTCTTTCCTACAGCTTTGTTGTAATTTTGAAAGGCAGGCATCTTTTTTCTTAAGATTTAAAAACTTTATCCAAATTCTCTCAACATTTAGTTATTTATAAAATGACATTATTTTAAAATGAACTGTGCTATTTGTTTATATAACAATATTAATTTTAAGTCCCAAGACTAACCTAAAATGTCTGATTAAAAAAAAAATTCTGACGTGATTTTGGTTATAGATTAGGAAAAAAAATAATGCTAGGCTTTTATTTATTTATTTTTAAAAAAGATTTATTTATTTATACAAGCACTGGGTACAGTCAGAAGTGTGGGAGGGTGAGAGAATTCACCAGAGCCAGAGCTGGAAACAGAATAGGCAGACTGATGAAATACACTGCTGAGGGGAGCAGTGGGCAGGAGAGGTCTGCGTGCCTTGTGGGACCCTCGCCAGGGGCTGGGGATTGAACCGGTGCTGCAGAGGCTGCGGGCAGCTTCACAGCCCAGTGCTCAACCACTGTGCCACCAGGGGGGCCCCAATGCTAGGTTTTTAATGTTATAATCAAGGGCCTCCATGGTGGCACAGGGGTTAAAGTCTCAGCCCTATAAAGATATCTTCAGCAACTGCAGCAGGAGTTCAATCCCAGGCCAGGAAGCTGACCCACATAATCTCTCCTGTCTACCTGCTGCTTCCCTCAGCAGTGTATTTCAGTCAGTCTGCCTGCTCTGTCCCACACACTGTCTCTGGTGAATCCTCTTACCTTCTGCACCTTTGGCCTACACCCCAGTTCTTGTTAGTATAAATAAATACAATCTTTCAAAAATATCAAAAGCATAATACTGGGAAAGTTGTTTT